TTCATTACTTTCTTATTCAAGTGTTTTATCATATCAAAACATGAATATGACAGCGCAGAGGAGGCACTACCTTTGTTACCCAGGGTCTAAAATATTTTACTGAGATTCAAAATATTTTATGCATTTTAGAGGTATATCTTATTTTGGATACATATTTAGATATATATCTTTATTTCCTTTCAGGAGTGATAAGGAAACTAGTGTAAGGACTCTGAGACTATTACCTGCTGTCAGGATTTGGCTACCAGTGTTAGGGCAACCACTCCCCACCCCCAGGAAAGTGCCCACTGCCCAGGGTTGGAGCTGCCCAAAGGCTGTCCTGCTGCCTGGTGGTGTGGTGGAAGAGTCTTGGATAATAGATTCTGCCCTGCCATAGCCATGGGGATAAGATTTCTTAAAGCTGAAATACAGTGTATGTGGTCTTAACCTGTGCTATGAGCAAAGTCGAGTCAGCTGAATCTGATGAAAATGGCAATTTCAGCTCTTGTAGTGCAGTCATCAGAAATTAATCACTTGTTCTCTTCGGGTGCAGGAAATCCCTCTGAGAGGAAAGAGGGGAGAGTATTCTCCTGCTTGAAAGGGAAGCACAACTCAGGATGAGCTGCAGACTTTTGAAAGTATCCCATCAGGAAGGAAGCCCAACTCCCTCATGCATTAAATGTTAGGTCTTGTAAGGTAAAAAATACATAGGTATTCTTCCCAAGAATGCCAAGGCAGTGGAAGGATTAAAAATAGGGTTTATTTCAGGTGCAAAGACCTTTTCTTAACGATGGTCCGGGGAAAAAGGCAATGCCCCACCTCCTCTAAGGCTCTTTGAATCTTCTCTCTCCTCCCCCACCCTTACTGGCCCTGAGAGGCCTTGTTCTTGTCTGCAAACATGTTATCTCTGTGTATACCAGGGACAGAAACAGCTTGCTCACAGCTTCTCCCTGAGACTTTCTCTGAAATGCAGAAGAAACGAAAAAAATAAACATCTAACCCATTTGAGAAGGCATTTCACCATCTTCCTAAGGGAGACTAGTTCTAGCTTTTAGTTATAAATTCTTCTGAAAAGCAAACTACCCTTACACACTCTGAACACAAAAGAGGATTCAAGGGTTCCCTGTCTTCAGGATTTTGCTGAAGAATGATGTTCACCTCCTTCAAATACTCCTTTAAGCTGTAAAAAGTGCACAGAGATGGGGAACACACAACTTTTTAAAAAAACAACCAACAGTGCTCATCTAATGTTGACGCTCTCTCAGCATCACCCCCCACTTTTTTTTTTTTTTTTTTTTTAAATATGAGAATCAGGAGTCTGTTATACACATAATGTGGCTGTGTGATGTATTGATTAGTAAGGGAAATTAAAAACTATTGTAAAAAGAAATTTAAGTCCTGTGGATAATGTTCCTCTTAATTAATACAACAAAGCGATAATGTTTTGAAATGACTACATTAAATTTAATATGTCACAAGTTTAAATGACTGCTTAGAAAGCCCAGGACAGGCATCATTTCAACACTGACATCCGTGATGTACAATATAGCTACATAAATCTCAGGTTTTCTACACTCATAATGGCACTGATTATAATTCTAGGGAGGATATAAGTTACTACTGTAACACTGTGCTTCACTGCAGAAGATGTCTAACACCTACACACATTTTACCATTCCCTTGGTAACAGAAAGTTAAGAGTAATATACACCTTAGGCAAAATGTAGCCTGTACAGTACAAAATTAACAAGGAAGTTTGACCAAACAGGAAATTCTTTGCACATTTTCTTTAGTAATTTTCAAATTTACAGATAATCAGGAGCAAAATAATGTTGCTGTGTAAAATGCACACGGAGGAGCATAGCAGCACATTCTCTTTAAACAAACAGAACAGTAGTCCTTATTGCTAACCCTAAAAACATCAAGTGCTGAGTTTCACCTTTAGAACAGGTAACATACTGTGTATGCTTGTCTCATTTAGATTTCAGTGAGACTGTTAAAACAAAATATGAGATTGGTCTTAAGAGATAGACTGCAACAACCATGTTTAGCATTTGCCTTAAATGGTAACAGAGAAACAGACACCAGGTACACTTGCTACCATTGGTTTCTTTCCAGTTTTCCCCTTTCTATCCTTTACATTCTGGCAGTATTCTCCTATGCCACCTATGCCAACATTAGTATCCAGGGGAAACAATTTTCCAAAGCATATCTGACAGAACACTGCTCATCTTGACTGCAGACAGAGTCAATCTTTGTCTAATTCACTGCCCTTACTTAGCTCACCATGACAGCCAAAGATTTTCAGGGCAGGTACCTGGTAAATTGCTGATGTATGTTATCCAACCACATCTGCAATCACTGAGATGCAGGAAGAAGGTTGTACACCTTGCCGGAAATGTAATAAATGAGTGAACAGAAAAGCACAGGAAATGACACCCAGTCAAATAAAGGGAATTTTGCACTTCCAAGAAAGTGCAATAATACTTATATGATGAATGGCCACAGTGTCTCCAAGATCAGAAAAGTAAATTTGCTTCAGGGAAAAAGACATCATCCAGAGCAAAGGATGACTGGAGATAAAAGCTAAAAATGGCCCAGTGAGAATGGGTAATCTCTGACACCCTGGAGCATGCATGTACAGATATGCTCCCAAACAGCAACTACAGCACATCAGCTGAACAGGCAGAAGAGATTTTCAAGTTCAAACTCCATATTAAACACAAAAAACTTGGCTTTTTATTTGGTTGTTTGGTGAAATTTTTCAGAAATATTTCTAGATGTACTGTCTATTTCAAAGGCTGACAATAAACTGTAAAATTTAATCTCCTTGGCTGAAATGAAGTACAATCCCAAGGTACCTAGCTAATAACGAGGTATTCTTAAACTCTGCAGGACAATAAAGCATAGGACAGCAGAACATGCCCAGACATTGGCAGGGCCATGAGGACCAGAAGAACCCATACCAGGAAGGTCAGAGAAGAACAAAGTCCCTTCCAGCGTTTAGAAGAGGTATGGATTCTTCTTGCATCTGAAAGACAAGAGTGGTACATAACAGAATTCATATGGTCCCTAAGGTGTCTGGGATGGATAATCCGTATAAAGGCATATAAACTTGAATCACGGTTAAGAGACTCTTAAAAGTGATGACTATATTTAGCTATTTGATCGTATGATTGTACCTAGTTCCAGTGTTTTAATGCAGTTATTATTATTCTAATAATGCATTCTTATGTACACTGCAGAAGCAATTTGTTGATATGCAGCTGCTTCTTAGAGCAGGTGGTTTGGTCAGCTACAGTAAAGAAAAAAAAATTATGCTTTGCTATACAAAAGTAATTAGTTGTCTTTTAAATGCAGGGGACATACCATTGTCTGACTATAACATCTGTATTCCTATTAAAGAATATACCCCTATAAGTCAAATTTGAAAAATCTTAACAAATGACAAAATATATCTATATATATATAAAAAGAAATAAGGTAGGAAAAAAAAAAAGAAAATGCTAATAACAATGAATTCTTAAAGACTGATTTTAATTAAAATATGGGCTTACACACATTAGGTCAGGAGACAAAGATACATGGCAGTCATAAAGAGGCCTTCAAAGTTCACGTATTTACAAAAAAAATAAAGTAAAACCTGACATAAGAATAAAATATTTATCAGGGATTAAAATAAGTGAAAGAAAATCCACAGTATCATCAGCCTGAATTCCAAATAAACTAGAAGAAAAAAAATGTGGAAACAATTGTCACAGATAATGTCTGAACTCTTTACTTTTGCTGTGATATGGCTCCAGGATCTCACTGAAGGCACACTCAAAGCAGAATTCTGCCTCTTCTGCGAATAAGTAAAAGATTTCCATATCCAGACCTACCAGGATATCACTTTCACTAAAACTAATTTTCCTTCTCTCTGTAGGTGTCAGAAATTCAGTCATGTGCGGAGCAATGTTTCCTCTCCCAAATACCCTTACAAGGTGATTAATTGAGGAGTCACAGAGTCACAGAATATTCTGAGTTGGAAGGGATCCACAAGGATCATCAAGTCCAACTCTTGAGTGAGACGCCTCTGCAGGGATCAAACCCATCACCTTGGTGTTATTAGCACCGTCATAACTATTTCTCATGAAACTACCTACCTGATGATTACATGTTACACTGTAGCAGGGGCACGAGTAATCAGAAGAAACAAAAAAGAAACTCTTTTTTGGTGCAGTTTCTCATGAAGATGTTGATGAGAATTCCCCCTGAATACCATAAGGAGGAGAGACGGAATGCAGACTTTACACTTCAAATTATTCCCATGGAAGTTGTACCAACTGAAGTCCACAGGGAAACTGCACTGTGACCTCTGATGCCTTTAAAAGAGACAACATGGTGCCTATCAAACAAAAAACACCGCAGTTTTGCAGTTGTGGCTTGCAATTCATTATACCTTTCTACTAGTATTTTTTTGATGTACATCTAATACACAGAATAAAACTGTTTTCCTTGTTACGCTTAGCAATTTCAATATTATTTGAAATTATATTAACAAGCAATTTCCTTTCACAGTTCCAGCAAAATTGATGTGCCAATCTCAAGAAGTTTTCATTCACATTTCCAGAGGTAAATAATTGTTATTGAATATAAACATTTTGAAGCCCATATAAATGATTTTAAGTAATTTCTGCCTGCTTTCTCTTTTTCTTAGAAAAATTGAGGCTTTTAGCCTTAGATAGGCAGCTAAACTGGTCAGGTGTTGCTTTATATTATCTTAGATCCTGGGGTGACGTTTCAATTTTTAAGTGGAGGTTTTCCAAGGATAGTTGTATCTTTTCCATTTCTGTGCTCTTAATTTCAAAAACTGAATCTTTTTTTATAAAAAAACCCCAGTGCTTAACTGAATATAACCCATGAAGATCTTTTGAACTTTAGTATGGTCCTCAGCTAAAAACAAGACCAAAAAAACCTTAAAAATAAAACTAAAACAGGCCAAAAAACCAACCAAACAAATAAACCCCCCATAAACTTACCTATACTGGAGAAAGATGCAGACCAAAGAGGAGAGAATTGTGAAACCAAATCACTGTCTAGGGAAATTAACAGAATAAAAAGATGGTTTAGTCTCAAGGAAAAAATATCCAGGACCACTACATGATAATCGTCTTCAAAAAAGTAAATAGCAGATACAAAAGGAGATGAAAAACCTGCTTTGTATTCCTGCTACAAGCAAGATAGGAAATAGTAAAAGTATCACCTCCTTTACACCAGCAGCGACATATGTTCAAGGTAATAAGAAACTTATCCCCTTGTAGACAGGTACTGGAGTAGATTACTTACATAGGTTACTTATATAGATCACTGTTGTTTCCATTCCTGGACACTAATTACTTCCCAAGAAAGAATAAGATTGAGACAGCAGAGAACATAACTTGCTTAGGTCCCCTTTTTAAATAATTTTCTAAAGATCTTAATCTATGATTTTAATTATCATATTTCTGGGTATTTACACATTTTAAATTAATCAGTTTTTCTATACCTCTTCATGAGGCAGAATCAATAGCCTCAAGTATCTATAGCATTTTTGCTTTTTCTCCATAACTTTTTCTGTTAATATCAGCACTCTGCTGGCTGCATGCTAGCATGTTCTCAGTGTACCTCAAAGGGCATCCAGTTGATTCCTATCAGCTTCATGGAGAAGGGGGCAGATTTTTAACTTCCTCAGAAATAAAGTTAATACAAAGCACCTCAATGCAAATCTAAAATACTGGAAATAAAAACATGCTGCCTCGGAGAGCAGATCTTTCTGATGATTTTTCTTACTACCAAGCTCTATTTGTGATGAATTGTAGCACACATATACAAAGCAGAACAAATTTACAAAGTGGACATTCAGAGTTTGATTTTTACTAATCTGTAAAAATGGGAACTGGATTTAGATCTTTTAAAAAAGCAGAGTAGGAAATTTTCAGACTATAAAGTTCTTTTACAAAGCCTGAGCGACTTACAAATGCACAGGACAATGGATAGGAGACTTTCAAAGTGACAGACCAGAATTTGATTTCATTGTTCATACACAATGCCCAAACTAATTTTAGGTATGAAGATATCCAGTCATTAAAAAGAATGTCATGTTAAAAGCCTCTTTCATTGCAGCAGAAATGGTTTTTTCCTTTTCTTTTTTTTTTCCTTTTATTTTCTTTTTTTTTTTCCTATATAATAATAGGAGACATACCATTTGCTTCTAGGTAAAACTGGCAAGAGACAGCTTTTACATTTTCATTACAAAAATGTAATATGATGAAAAGGCATTCTTGATGCCTAAATAAAAGTAGATCTAATTCCCAAGAAAAACTCATTTTGCCAAACCACATACTGTAACACTTTTCTGCTGGCCAGTTAACTTATGACAGTTACATCCCATTTATAGATTTACTTTTTAAACTGTTTTGAGCCTTGATTGAACAGGCTCCAACAACTGAAGTGAATCAGCAACTTATTTAGAAATAAAGCACTCTTCAAAACAAATGAAAACAAAGAGCTCCCTAATACAAAAACATTATATAGACAGCCTCTATGCAATTATTTTCTTTATTACAGTAGAGACAAGGGAGAAAAAGGTAGCAACAGAAGAGGCAACAACTCATCATACAGCGGCCCAGAGCAAGAAAAAGTTAGAAAAAAAATATTGGGATAAAGTAAATAATAATCCATGAGGTAAAACAAAGTAAGTCCCTGTGTGACTAAAGCAATATTACTGAAAGCAATAGTACAAGGCTGAGGCTTGAACTATAAATTCATATATGAAAGGGGTAGAAAGGGATCAGTATTACCTATTGCAGTTTGACAAGGAAATAGGAGTCTGAAGGTATCTGTAAGGATTTTTAAAATATCTGTTCTTTCCCTTACTCTTTGGATACACCTTTCTCTATGACAAAGGTAATGATTACAATATTTACAGCTTTGAACCATTACTTAGACATGAAGAAGTCACATGCTAGATAGACCCTTAGCAAAAGAATGAAAAATATCCCTGTCTATATATATATCCCTTGTGAAATACGCAAAGGTTAAGACAATTCACAATGATGGATTCTGACAATTGCAGTGAAAAATAGTGGCAGCCAAGATTTTCCCTCAGCTTTGGGTTCTGTCAGATTACTTTTTCTCACAAAAATGTGTTGAAGAAAAGGAGAGTTTTAGGCAAGGATTTAAAAGAATACAATAGCGTATGTGTGATAGTTTGGACCTGGCTTCCTGCCAAATGCCCGAAAGTCATGACAGCAGCCCCCTTCCCCCCTCCCTTCTCCTCTTAGGGCAAAGAAAAAAAACTATAAAAAATTAAAGAACCCAAAGTCAAGCCACTTATATAAAAATATATATATATATTTACGTAAATTATAGTTATATACAGTTAAGATGCTATATACACAGTAAAAGGGGATCCACCCCCCGAAGGGATAGGGAAAGGGGAAAAAAGGGACAAAAGGGGCACTGAACAGGTATACCCGATCAAACTCAACAACTATACTAGTAACTAACAAAACAGATCTCACCACTTCCCTTAGAAAAGCAGGATTGGCAGACACAGCCAGCACTCTCCGAACCCCCCATGTGGCAGGCCAGCGGTCGCTGCAGGCCTCAGCTTTAGATAAGCGAGACCAACGCAAGGACCTACAGTTCCCGACCCTCGCTGGAAGAGAAGAGAGAGAGGTCTCTAATCTCCAACTTTTTTATACTCTGGTTTATGTAAAAATCGTATGGAATATTGGGTACTTGGCTACTTCCTTGGTTACAAACTGGTTACCAGGAAGGCCTAGACCAAAACCATCACAGTATGTTTTTGAGTGCATGCACTCAAGAGTTTCCAAACAAAAGAAGTGACAGAAAGTGTAGAGGCCTTTGCCTCAACAGAGAACAGGCAGGGATAGAAGCTGGTAGCAGTGTAAATATTTTTGCACACCTAAAACTGCTTCTGAAAGTTTTTTATCAGTTGTGTAAATTAAATGCCCCGAGGAAGGTATGATTACAGTAATAAAAATTGACTTCTGGTCTAGCACTTTGTCCATGTCAGTCCTTAGAAAGATGACAAATTACCACTGCCACTCATATAAAAGCATAGGTAGTTCATCTAAATACATGCATACCTTAAAGGTCACACAGTAATGGACCAGCTGACGTTGTTATGCATTTACAGTGTTACCCTAATCTTAGTAAGATCAAAAACCTCCTTTTTAAACTATGAAATCCCTTACCTTACTCTAGGCTTTCACCTTTAGATCAAGGACCCTGAGCATCATAACTACCATGAAAAACAATCTGACTTCCAGGCATTCTTTTTTCCTTATCTCTGAGAGCACACAGGCCTTTATTTATTGATGGATCTTCCTTTTAAAAAAACCTAGACCAGCATTTTGCATTTTCAAAAAAAAAATTGGAAGTCATTAGGAAAATAAAATTATCTGAAACTCTGCAAATTTATGCTTTTTTAATCTTAAAATCTATTTTCACGTAAGGAAAATTTGGTTTGTTTTTTTCTCATCAACAGGAGAGAACATTCCCACACACAGAGCAGATCTTCCATCATCTGCAAGGCTCATAATCTTATTCTTCTCATGTCACACTGTTCTATATGTCAGGATATCCCCTACTGAAATAGGATAAGGCCATTTAAACTACATTCAAATGACATTAAACAAAAGACCTTTCAATATTATTCTCTTATCTTCCTTTATGAACTTTTATATCATTATGTGTGGAACTTGCATCTCAATCATACACCCAAATGCACTTAACACCTCCAGTGGGAATGGAGTCTTTGAAACAACTTCAGCAAAAACATAACATTAGCAAAAAGGAAGGACCTTTTTTTTTAACATTATAAAGAGATGAATGGAGGGAAAAAGAACTGAGAGAAAGGATCTAAAGAGAATGGGTTTCAAAATTACAGGAAACATGTTTCTAAGGATGATATTACTGACACTTGAAAACGTCAGACTGGAAAAAAACCTTTCAGGGTGGTATTTCCTTTTCTCCTCCCTGTAGCCAAGATCAGCCATGCTCATATCCAGTGTCAAGAATACTACAGCCTCCCTTGGCAAACTGCTGTAGTGTTTGCTTAAAGCTTTGTTCCCTAAGGTATTTTGGGAAACTGGACACATCACATCCCCAAAACACTATATATGTTGATGAAAGTAGTGTTACTATGTTGGGGTTAATGTTGTAAATAAGAGATCAACTTTGAGCAGAGACGAGGCATCGTATCAGGAGTGGAGAGCGAAATATATCGAGGAGCTCAGAGAAGAAAACTTGGAGGAAAAGAATTTCACCACTTAAGACTGTATACCACCAAGCTTATGTTTGGGAGATGAATCTATAAGTAGATTTGTCCTCCATTTTGTGTTACACTTCTTTATGGACTTGTCTGCCCCTAGGCAGCAACAATTCCCTGATAGGTTGAGCTACCGTGTGGTACCAACAAATCCAGTTGTTTGGCAGGCTCTGGCCTAAGCCACTCCCTCGTTACCACCCAGTTCCAACTTCCCTATGTTTATGTATTTCCCCATACCCAATTCAAGCTTGAAGATTTGCATGCTCCTCCCATGTGCCACCCACTTTCCAGAACCTTCCTCTCAAAACCCTATAAAAACCCTCCATTTTGTCTAATAAATCAGTTCAGCCTTGTGCTGTTCTTTGCTCCACACATATCGTGTCTCCTTGCCTCTCATTACTGAGCTGTGTGAGTGAGTGAGAGTGTGTGTGCTTAGGCTAGCTGGTTGCTTCTTCATTTAATCACCTCACTGAAGAGCAACGAACCCTGGAGCTGGACTGCTCCCTTCCTTGACACACCGAACCGTGTCATTACTAGCTGATAATTTTTCTACTCATGTATCAAAAAGGGTATTTTATTCATTAACCTTGTTCAAGCTTATGATTCACCATGGCCCTTCTCTAAAGAACTGGTCATTATTTGTGTTTATATAGCTGGCTGTTCATGACTAACTGCAGTACACTGCAGTCATGTCTATGAAATTCCCCTGTACTTCTTTCAAGTAATTTATTTTCTTTAAGAACAGCTGGAAATCTAGTC